TTTGTCTTCCTTGACGGCCAGAGCTGCGGTCGTGGGGGGGGTGGGGAGTGGAGGTCGTGGGGGGGGAGGAGGTCGTGGAGGGGGTGGGGATGGAACTTTTTTTTTTTTATTATTATTTTCTACCACAGACGTGGCCACACATTTACAATGCTAACCAGCATATATACATTTTCTTCTGTCCTCCATGGACAGGGTTAGAGAAATGTTAAACATATAGTTCAGGGGTTTATTGAACAATCAACCACAGAAGGTGATTCGGTGCTTTTAAAATGCTAAGCTAACCTACATACGTAAATACATAGATACACAGATTTACGTATGCCCTACATAAAGTGTTTGATGTGTCTTTTACATAGTGTCATTAATGTACATTCACAAAGGTGAAATGTAATTCTGATCAGCTTCCATTTCACATACATCTGTCTCATTTACTCTGACAGGGTGAGGTAGCTGATAAAGAAACTAGTGTGCAATTAAGCACTTAATCACTGAAGGTGATGAAGGTGCTTTTACAAGCTTTTACAGGGAAGGAACTAGAAGCGTTACTCTCAACGCCTCAATAAGAGCTTGACTCTCACTTGCAACACTGTGCAATATGAACACAAAACATGCACCACACATTCAGATGTAAACTGCGAAGTTGATATCGGACGTTATCACCTAGGATGTAATTTAATTATCACTCTTGCTGAAACATGTTTCTTTCGACCTTTGAATATTCTAGAACTCAGACAAATCACGCATTTATTAACACACACATTATATAATATCTATACAACACTAAGAATTCTAACTGACCCGGCCAGGATTCGAACCCATGACGCCCAGGATCACCCCCAAACGGTACTGTGACCCTCTCACCATTGATGGTCTATAGCCGCAACAAATATTTCCTCTCTGAATAGCCACGGTGGTGCGCTGGAACAGAAAACTGGCCGTTCTGGGGTACCTACTTCCCCATAATGACTCTCTGCCCTCATTAAAGATGTTGAGAGCACCCCATGAGCCTATTGCAGTGATGCAGGTCTCCCCATACGAGGCAACAGTGATTATAAGAGCCTTTTCTGACCATCAATCCAAATTTATGCAGTGATTATTGTAGACGATGAGTCACAATACCGTGGCTGAAGATATGATGACCTAAACACACCAGACGAAGAGGAGACGACGACGTTTCGGTCCGTCTTGAACCATTATCAAGAAGATTGTGATGAGAGCGATTGATTGGTTGATTGGTGAAGATCCCCGCCAAGAGGTGGCACGGTCATGAATACCCCAGTAATGGGAGCGACGGAAGCACGGGCATTAAGTTAGGCAAGAGAGAGAGAGAGAGAGGTTAGGAGCAGAAACTTCCTAGAGGAAGGTAAGAGTAAAGCGAAAGATATGGATGGGTTACGGGTTCACCATAGCCCGTGCTACATGGACACTTCGTTCTGAGTAGATAAATCTAAAACAATAACAGTAAGGATGGGATGGGTGTAATAAAGGGGTGAAAGAAAGGGGTAAATAATGGGTAAAAGAATGGGAACGTAAGAATAAGAGAAAGAGAAAAAGAATGGGTAAGCTTATGTCAGGTCACGTTTGTTAGAAAGGTTAGAGCATTAGAATATGCACTGTAAAAGGGAAGAGTCAAAAGCAACAAAGCCAGGACTCAGGTTCACGTTGGGTAGGTTGTGTATCAAAGCCAAGTCGACCAGACGACGTCTGTGAAGAGTAGAGACAGGAAAGATTATTTCAGAAGACCAATCAGAATGATTAAGAATCCCTGACATGACAGAAGAGAACATTGTTTGTGTCTGCAGACTTAACACTTGGTCTTGGGTCTGGTTTGCCGCTTACTTGTGTAATATAAGAGTTCTCTTGAGACCATTGTCAATCAGTATAGGTCACCCATCAGCCTGTCACTGGGAAAGGTCACCACCACATGCCATTCAGTTAATGACATACTGATGGGTAGCATTAAGCAAAGATCCCGAATCACATTGTCATCAGAAGGAAGGTCAGCTATCACCTTCCCTGAACCTATTTTTTTAAATTCTAAAAACTCTGCATTTTGCAATAGGTTTAAAAAAAAATTAGAGTTCATATTAATTTTTTTGGGTGGACTAAAATGGTTCAGTTTTCCTAATTTGGTTTCTCGTACTGCCTTAATATGAGTACAATTAAACAAAAAAATTGTGTTGCGTTTAAAATTAAAAAAATGAGTTGTAAGCAAATTATGAGGGTTGTAAAAAATCGGGAGATATAAAAGCAGACACGTGTTGCATCTTGAAAGAGATGCAACCAATTACGAAGGAGATCAATGCAGAGTTGCAGAGCATCTGTTGAGCTGTTGATAACTGTATCATGTGATGGATGGCATAGATTACTTGAGCTACGAGTCTTGTGATTGATGGTTCTTATTGGTATATTCTCTCTCTCTCTCTCTCTCTCTCTCTCTCTCTCTCTCTCTCTCTCTCTCTCTCTCTCTCTCTCTCTCTCAATCTCTCTCTCTTCCTCTTTGTTTCCCCATTCACTCGACACCAGTTCTATCCAAACTCTCAAGCCGTTCGTATTCTTGACTCATTCCGAGTCCTCTTCAAAAGCCTTCTCGAAAGGTTTTCGCAAAGACCTCTACAGACCCCCCTCTCAAAGACCTCCACCAACGCCCTCTCAAAGACCTCCTAGGTCTCACCTAACCTTCGCCAAGCCAAAAGGGGAAGAGACTCCAATTGGGAACTGTTTCTAACGCGAGTACAGAACCCTCTTGCTTTTACCGGTTCCTTAATCACGAACACACTCAGCCATGGCCTTAAGCTATTCGGTAAATCCTTTGATTATTGGACAGTTGGACTTGCTATCACGGCCAGTTGATGACACGGGGTCACAGTGTATGTCACGGGCTCACATTACTGAACCCTCCCAAAAAACAGGCGTTAAAAAATATATATATATACATTAATAGATAGAAAACAAAAATTGGTGAATTACTATGATAAAAAAAAATATATATATGACTTGTTTTTACCGTGGAAATGTTCAAAGCCAAAAAATTCACATGAAAACATTTTAGGCATTTTGTTTGTATATGTAATTAATATGTGATGTGTTTTAGGGGAAACATTTATAGGGACAGACATGCCAGGCTGTGAAGCATCGCCACACACACACACACACACACACACACACACACACACACACACACACACACACACACACACACACACACACACACACACACACACACACACACACACACACACACACACACACACACACACACACACACACACACACACACACACACGCACACACACAGCTATACAAACTTGAGAGGCAGGCAGGAGTAAGCGGAAAGGCCCTAGTATGGGTGAAGAACTACCTAACAGGAAGGAGCCAGAGGGTAATGGTAAGGGGCGAAAAGTCGGACTGGCGAACAGTAACAAGTGGAGTACCTCAAGGATCGGTGCTGGGACCAATCCTCTTTCTAATTTACGTAAATGATATGTTTACAGGAGTGGAATCATACATGTCGATGTTTGCAGATGACGCAAAATTAATGAGAAGAGTTGTGACAGACGAGGATTGTAGGATCCTCCAAGAGGACTTAAACAGGCTGCAGAGATGGTCAGAGAAATGGCTACTGGAGTTTAACACCAGTAAATGTAAAGTTATGGAAATGGGATCAGGTGACAGGAGACCAAAGGGACAGTACACAATGAAGGGGAACAGCCTACCTGTAACGATTCGAGAAAGAGACCTGGGAGTGGATGTGACACCTAATCTAACTCCTGAGGCACATATAAATAGGATAACGACAGCAGCGTACTCTACACTGGCGAAAATTAGAACTTCATTCAGAAACCTAAATGAGGAAGCTTTTAGGGCGCTTTACACTGCCTACGTGAGACCCGTCTTAGAGTATGCCGCGCCATCATGGAGCCCCCACCTGAAGAAACACATGAAGAAACTGGAGAAGGTTCAGAGGTTTGCGACGAGGCTTGTCCCAGAGCTACGAGGGATGGGATATGAAGAGCGGCTGAAGGAACTGAACCTTACGACACTAGAGAAAAGAAGGGAGAGAGGAGATATGATAGGGACATATAAAATACTCAGGGGAATTGACAAAGTGGAAATAGATCAAATGTTCACACGTAATAATAACAGAACGAGGGGACATGGGTGGAAACTGGAAACTCAGATGAGTCACAGAGATGTTAGGAAGTTTTCTTTTAGCGTGAGAGTAGTAGAAAAATGGAATGCACTTGGGGAACAGGTTGTGGAAGCAAATACTATTCATACTTTTAAAACTAGGTATGATAGGGAAATGGGACAGGAGTCATTGCTGTAAACAACCGATAGCTAGAAAGGCGGGATCCAAGAGTCAATGCTCGATCCTGCAAGCACATATAGGTGAGTACATATAGGTGAGTACACACACACACACACACACACACACACACACACACACACACACACACACACACACACACCTATTTTCCCATAGATACGTAACGTTACATAATAATCGCGGACTCATAACTCTCGGACACATGCCCCCACCGGACACATGCCACCCACCGTGAACCCTTACCATAGCCTGATTCACGCGGAGACACGGAGGGAACCAGCTGGGAACCGAGGATTACCAGGATCGATCACCTATCTTCTTCACCGATAGGCGATGATGGGTACTTATGATTGAGGGAGGGAGGGTGATTATGGGGGGAAAGGAGGGAGGGTGGGTGATTATAGGGGGTGACAGGGGGGAGCTAAATGGGGGGAGAAGGGGAAGCTATTATGCCCAAGAGAAGCAGTTACTGGTAATAGTTGAGAAACATTACTACTATTCTCACGGAAGGAGACTAGTTACACTTAAAGAGATAATAGTGTCTATCACTATTCTACGTTTTTGCAGTTACTCGTCTACGAAATGAAAATTATTTCCTGGAAATAAACGTACTGGAATTTTTGGCCCACTTTTTTTTAGGATCTATAAGCAACGCTTGCTGAAGTTTCCTATGTTTAAGTTAGGTAAATGCAGTCATATTGCACGCTGGTCGGATAGTGAGTGCTTCACTACATGCAAGGATAGTGACTGCTTCACTACAGCCAAGGATAGTGAGTGCTTCACTACATGCAAGGATAGTGACTGCTTCACTACAGCCAAGGATAGTGACTGTTTCACTACAGTCAAGGATAGTGACTGCTTCACTACAGCCAAGGATAGTGACTGCTTCACTACAGCCAAGGATAGTGACTGCTTCACTACAACCAAGGAGAGTGACTGTTTCACTACAGTCAAGGATAGTGACTGCTTCAATACAGCCAAGGATAGTGACTGCTTCACTACAGCCAAGGATAGTGACTGTTTCACTACACCCAAGTATAGTGACTGCTTCACTACAGCCAAGGATAGTGACTGTTTCACTACAGTCAAGGATAGTGACTGCTTCACTACAGCCAAGGATAGTGACTGCTTCACAACAGCCAAGGATAGTGACTGCTTCACTACAGCCAAGGAGAGTGACTGTTTCACTACAGCCAAGGATAGTGACTGCTTCACTACAGCCAAGGATAGTGACTGCTTCACTACAGCCAAGAATAGTGACTGCTTCACTACAGCCAAGGATAGTGACTGCTTCACTACACCCAAGGATGATGACTGCTTCACTACAGCCAAGGATAGTGACTGCTTCACTACAGCCAAGGATAGTGACTGCTTCACTACAGCCAAGGATAGTGACTGCTTCACTACAGCCAAGGATAGTGACTGCTTCACTACAGCCAAGGATAGTGACTGTTTCACAACAGCCAAGGAGAGTGACTGCTTCACTACATGCAAGGATAGTGACTACTTCACTACAGCCAAGGATAGTGACTGCTTCACTACAGCCAAGGATAGTGACTGCTTCACTACAGCCAAGGATAGTGACTGCTTCACTACAGCCAAGGATAGTGCCTGCTTCACAACAGCCAAGGAGAGTGACTGCTTCACTACATGCAAGGATAGTGACTGTTTCACTACACCCAAGTATAGTGACTGCTTCACTACAGCCAAGGATAGTGACTGCTTCACTACAGCCAAGGATAGTGATTGCTTCACTACAGCCAAGGATAGTGACTGCTTCACAACAGCCAAGGAGAGTGACTGTTTCACTACCTCTAAGAATAGTGACTGCTTCACTACCCCTAAGAATAGTGACTGCTTCACTACCTCTAAGAATAGTGACTGCTTCACTACCTCTAAGAATAGTGACTGCTTCACTACCTCTAAGAATAGTGACTGCTTCACTACCTCTAAGAATAGTGACTACCTCACTACCCCTAAGAATAGTGACTGCTTCACTACCTCTAAGAATAGTGACTACCTCACTACCCCTAAGAATAGTGACTGCTTCACTACCTCTAAGAATAGTGACTGCCTCGCCAGAGCTAACCCCAACCAGCAGTATGAATTAACATAGCCCCGAGAGACTCCAAAATGGAGCTACAGACGCACTTAGAGAAAACGACGTCATTTCTCTCCTGAGGGGCTTGGTAGGCTGATGGGAAGCTGAAGGGGAAGAGGAGGGAAGATGGGAAGGGATAGAGGTGATGGGGGAGGGACGTAGTGAGAGGGAAAGGAAGGAGAAGAGTGGAGATGAGACATAAAGAGTAAGAGGCGAGGTTTGGAAGAGAGATAGTGAGTGTGGAAAAGTCGGTTGTAGGTGATGAAAGGAGAGTTGAGGCATAGGTAAGGAAGATGATAATGTAATGAGAGATAATGGGGCGAGAATTGAGAAAGGAGAGAAGAAAACCAATCAGTGAGAGAGGGAGAGACGGAAAACTATGAGAATAGGACGACAGACCGATTGGAAGATAGAGAAAAAGAGAGAGAAATGAAAATGAAAGATTGCAAAGAGAGAGAGAGAGTAGAGAGGTGGGTGTCGGAAGAGAGAGAGAGAGAGGGGAAGACATTAGGAGAAAGCCAAGAAAAATGAGAAGAAAACCCCGCTTGAATAATTCGTGGAAATGGCATCCAATAAAGAAGAACGGAAAGAGGCAGATGGAGAAAGGAAGGAGGAGAAGTAGGAATGGAGAAAGGAGGAGGAATAGGAATAAAGGAAGGAGGACTAAGACACGAGTGGAACTTGCAGACACAAGAGGACGCTGCACATTGCTCGGTTGAATAAACTGGAAATGGTTGAATATAAATAAAAACAAAATGGTTGAATAAACTGGAAGAAGAAGAAGAAGTAGGGAGAGCCACCTCTACCCACAGCCTCAATGTACACTCTCACGCCCCTTATAACTTGTGTACATTTTTCATTGTATACGAAGTTAGTTTCAATTTTTACTCAATGTCAAACCCATTATATGACATCTCTGTGACTTATTTTTATCATCTAAGTTTCCTTCTATTGCATCTTTAGTCATTTATAATATATAAACTCCCCCACATCTGCTGTTATCATGTGTGTGCTTACTCCTCGTGTCCTCGTGTGGTGTGTGTGGTCCAGTTCCTGTGGTTGATAATCAATTTCCTCGTCGATCAAGCCCCTCAACTCAGGAACGAGCCTTTGTTACATTTCTTTGGCCGGTTGTTATTTAGGTTTATGCTGCATAGTGAAGATTTGGTCTCACATTGGTTGTATATAGGACCCGGAAGGCTCCTTTGTATATACTGTGGACGGCTATACGGGTGGTGACTAGTGTGGGTGGATACTATAATTTAAAAACAGGTGGGGGCCATCCCAATTGGAAAACCAATTTCCAATTGGGTTTAAACCAATTTCCTTTTCCGTATCTTCACCAGTCACATACAGCGGGGGGAGAAGGGGGGGGGGAGGGGGTGGTTCTCAACACCATCTGAGAGTCGAATCTGACACTCCCACTCACCACCACACAGTGGGGGGGGGTTATATTACGGGCTCACTATAGCCCGTGCTACTTGGAACTTGTTCCGAGTAGCTGAATCTATAACAACAACAACAGGGGGGTTATATATGGAACCAACTACCTCTCAACTCTCGAAATGCATCTATACACTCTTGTCCTCCAAACACGCTCCCAAAACGACACTATATGTATGAGTGTCGTTGAATACTTACAGTTCTGAAAATACCTAAACCCAACACATTTCCAAGGATCCGAGGTCAACTTAAGACACATATTTTCCACACTTGTATCTGTTTTCTCGTTAAATCTATCTTTTATTCATCCCTACTGCCTTGTTCTTGTACGTGTTCCCTAACCCCTTGTTCTTGTTCTAGTAGATGTTCCCTACCTCTTTGTTCTTGTTCTTGTAGGAGTTCCCTACCCCCCTTCTTTTTGTAGATTAAGCAGGCGAGGAGTCACAATAGCGTGACTGAAATATGTTCACCAAACCACACACTAGAAAGTGAAGGGACGACGACGTTTTGGTCCGTCCTGGACTATTCTCAAGTCGATTGTGACTTGAGAAATGGTCCAGGACGGACCAAAACGTCGTCGTCCCTTCATTTTCGAATATCACTAGTTTAGTTTAGTTCATTTATTATGCACCCCATACCCATCTTGTGGGAGGTAGTGGAAAGGGTTACAGCGGCACATAATGGGCTCAGGGACTGAACCCCACAATTCATTTAGCTAAGCAAGTTACAATCTTGATGAGCTAGTTACAAAATTCAATATAAGTCATCACATCAACAATGGGTTCGAGATCGACCTCAAGTACAGGTTCTAAATTAAGCAACTGACATATGTGGAGAGCTAGTGTCACTAGTTATATGTTTGTCCTGCACACCGCCCCCCATCCAGTGGGAAGCGGTGGATAGGTTACAATCACTTAGTTACTACCTACAGTTAGCAAACTTGGGATATTTGGCTAAAATTTCTGGTAGCAGATCATTTTGAATGAAATATTGACACATCGCTGGAACATTGGTTATAGAATTGTCTCTAAATTCACGTATCTTTTCGCACTCCATCACATAGTGACGGAGGGTGTGCGAATAATTTTGTTGACACAGTTTACATTTGGTCAGGTCTACATCAGCAGATAATGAGAATTCCCAGAGATACTTGTAACCATCCAATAAAACCAGCAGACTTCTAGATGTTGCTACTGCTCGGCTTAGAATATCACTAGTGTATGTGTTATATCAGTGTTGTATTAGCTAAAGATATACGATAATAACACAAACCAGGTGATTCGGCGTGACTGGAAGTTTACACATAACTGAATCACCTGTTAATTTTCCACATAGGAAAATGACCCGAAAATAATCTGAGAACTGAGAAGATATCAAGAAATTCTTCACAATACATTGTTAAACCTATATTGCATTGTATTCTTTGGTTGTCTGAGATCCTGCTTGACATTCTTAGGATGATTTAAGAATGTCCTTATTTGTTATCTGAAGCATTTGTGGCATGTTATTGTGTCTTGGTTGTAGTAACCCAGGAGTCTGCTGGAACACCATCTGGGAGTCTGCTGGAACACCATCTGGGAGTCTGCTGGAATACCATCTGGGAGGCTGCTGGACCACCATCTGGGAGGCTGCTGGAACACCATCTGGGAGTCTGCTGGAACACCATCTGGGAGTCTGCTGGAACACCATCTGGGAGGCTGCTGGACCACCATCTGGGAGGCTGCTGGACCACCATCTGGGAGTCTGCTGGACCACCATCTGGGAGTCTGCTGGAACACCATCCGGGAGTCTGCTGGAACACCATCTGGGAGTCTGCTGGAACACCATCTGGGAGTCTGCTGGAACACCATCTGGGAGTCTGCTGGAACACCATCTGGGAGTCTGCTGGAACACCATCTGGGAGTCTGCTGGAACACCATCCGGGAGTCTGCTGGAACACCATCTGGGAGTCTGCTGGAACACCATCCAGGAGTCTGCTGGAACACCATCTGGGAGTCTGCTGGAACACCATCTGGGAGTCTGCTGGAACACCATCCGGGAGTCTGCTGGAACACCATCTGGGAGTCTGCTGGACCACCATCTGGGAGTCTGCTGGAACACCATCCGGGAGTCTGCTGGAACACCATCTGGGAGTCTGCTGGAACACCATCTGGGAGTCTGCTGGAACACCATCTGGGAGTCTGCTGGAACACCATCTGGGAGGCTGCTGGACCACCATCTGGGAGGCTGCTGGACCACCATCTGGGAGTCTGCTGGACCACCATCTGGGAGTCTGCTGGAACACCATCCGGGAGTCTGCTGGAACACCATCTGGGAGTCTGCTGGAACACCATCTGGGAGTCTGCTGGAACACCATCTGGGAGTCTGCTGGAACACCATCTGGGAGTCTGCTGGAACACCATCTGGGAGTCTGCTGGAACACCATCCGGGAGTCTGCTGGAACACCATCTGGGAGTCTGCTGGAACACCATCCAGGAGTCTGCTGGAACACCATCTGGGAGTCTGCTGGAACACCATCTGGGAGTCTGCTGGAACACCATCCGGGAGTCTGCTGGAACACCATCTGGGAGTCTGCTGGACCACCATCTGGGAGTCTGCTGGAACACCATCTGGGAGTCTGCTGAAACACCATCTGGGAGTCTGCTGGAACACCATCTGGGAGTCTGCTGGAACACCATCTGGGAGTCTGCTGGAACACCATCTGGGAGTCTGCTGGAACACCATCCAGGAGTCTGCTGGAACACCATCCGGGAGTCTGCTGGAACACCATCCAGGAGTCTGCTGGAACACCATCCAGGAGTCTGCTGGAACAGCCTCCTGTTCCCAGCACCCCTGCTTCATTACTATGTACTTGCTAGAGTTTAACTCTACTAGCCACCTCTTACAGCGGGGACTGTATTTCCCTGCTGTAAGTCACTCACGTTGTATCCCGTCCTCTTGGGTGCTATACTAGAGCAACAACAACACCAGCTTGCACAATGATTGCACAATCAGGTTGCACGGTGATTAAGAACACGATTGGCTCCTGCTGGACGCCACTCTGACGTCTGTCTGTCTGCAACTCTTAAGGTTGGGCTCGTGTTCTTGGGTCCTAGATCTACTCAAGGTGTACTGTGCCCAAAGCTTTCTCACAGTCCACAAAAATAAGTGTAATAACCTCAAGTGTAGTTACAAGACGAGAGCTACGCTCGTGTGTGTGTGTGTGTGTGTGTGTGTGTGTGTGTGTGTGTGTGTGTGTGTAATTATCTAAGTGTTACCTAATTGTAGTTACAGGATGAGAGCTACGCTCGTGGTGTCCCGTCTTCCCAGCACTCTTTGTCATATAACGCTTTGAAACTACTGACGGTCGTGTGTGTGTGTGTGTGTGTGTGTGTAATTACCTAAGTGTAATTACCTAAGTGTAGTTACAGGATGAGAGCTACGCTCGTGGTGTCCCGTCTTCCCAGCACTCTTTGTCATATAACGCTTTGAAACTACTGACGGTCGTGTGTGTGTGTGTGTGTGTGTGTGTAATTACCTAAGTGTAATTACCTAAGTGTAGTTACAGGATGAGAGCTACGCTCGTGGTGTCC